CAAATAGATGTAAACATTGTTATAATACTTGTCTGAGCATGAAATGTGTCAGACACTTACATTTTGTGAAAGAAAGAAGTGCCATTTTACTAGAGTTTTTATGTTTAGTCGAAAATTTTGATTCGGATTGGGGCGTCTAGTTAGTTGTTACGTGACGAAATCTCAGCCGAACACGTTTGTAGACGAACGCGGTCTTTTTGAGATTTCTCGTGTGGTATTCAAACTGGCTGTAGCATTTATTCCTAGTTAAAACCGTCCCAGATTACGATATCCTTTATCAATAAACTTAGACCATGCTTGTTATTTTTAAAGTAAGGGTTTTGTCGGGGAGCGACACAGTCGTTCGGACTGTATTCGGAACGAAACGTGCAGTTGTTTAATGTTGTGGGAATTCGTGTTTGGCTTTCAGTGCATTACTTTAAGGCCATTTTCCCCTTTCCAGCTACTTGCATAGTTCCGTTCTCTTAAACTTTACTATGATTTTTCTAGTCCTCTATCCAAGAGATGGGGATCGTCCAGAAAGCACAACCGCTTTTCTCAGATTCATTTGGCAATTTAGGTGAGCTCGGCGCCTGCAACACTCAGAGTAGGCAATCCCGCAGTACACGCATGCACTGCACTCAAGATTTTGCCTACCTAGCAGGCGCTATGGGAGCATGCAAAGGCTGAACATTGCAGGTTCGAAACGGCGAATGACGGACGTACTTTCTGAATGATCAGTAAACCCATCGTAGAACCCAATTTTTTTTTTTGAAAAATGCCAAAATCTGAGCAAAATTTTAAAAATTGCAGAGCAACTAACTTCCCAAACTTTTCCCTTCACCATTTTCTTGTATCTCGAAGGTACCAAATTTCGAGCAAAGCGTGGGACCAAAATAAGACAGACAAAACTAAATCAAAAATAAGAATCACGAAAGGTAACTTGTTTCCCAGGTTAAGCATTAGGCACCAGGCTTCCGACATTCAGTTTATTGTTAATCGAAATGAGTGTAATCAAAAAGAAATGTATTTAAAAATAATCTGCACCCGCGCTTGTCTTTTATTCTTTCTATCGGAAGTTCGAAATTGGGAGGTCATTCCGCTGCTGCGCAGAGCCCTGATCTGGACTCAGTCCTTTGCGTTATGAAATGGGAACTAATTAGGACTATACCGGGTGCTTCTTTTAATGGTGATCTAGTGTTGCGTGATTTTACTAACTACCTGGAGCGGAAGGGAATTGGTGAATTGGTGCCTTACTGACGACTGGTAGGCAAAACCGCAACACTGGAGCGTACGCAATTAAACACCCGGTATAGGGTGGGTGCTCGTATTAGGTAGGCTACCCCGCCGACAGAACGGGCCGGTCCCCGAGCTTGGCCGCGTGGTGACGGAAAGGGGACGGGTAGCGCGCTGGCTGCGCACCTGCGTACCTGCCCGAGCAGCACCGGTCTGGTAATGCGCATGCAATGCGCCTTAAAGGGTAACACATTTTAGATACATTTAATGTGCAGTACCGTATTTGATAGCACGTAACGCGTAATAAAATGTATAAATGCCTCAAAAATCTGTTGCCTTTTACGCGCCATCATGCGCACTGCCGCATTTAACCCCCCTTTATGTGCATGGGTACTACTTGGGGGTTGGGCGGGCTCGGGGGACCGGCCCCTTCGCCTTATCCGTGAAATCCGCTGATATCAGCGATAGTTTGACATGTTTGGCGCCTTCAATTTCCGATCAAAAACTTATGAGCTTGTTTAGACGGCCATCAAATTTTATTCGATCGACTGTCAATGTCGACTACTTTCTATACCTCTACCGCTGCTTTTGCGTCAAATTGACCACAACTTGGTTGAACATTGCTCGCTGGGATATTCCCAAGGCGTTGTGGTATAGTTGGGCCTCAAAACGCATCCCAGCGGTGCGTCCTCGACCCCGGGTTCATTCATCGAAAGTATATTCGACTAGGGCTCTATGGCTACAACTGCCCTAAGCTTGCGATGAGTCACCAGTACCACTTTGTTACTGTTGTATATGCATATTCTGATTATTTCCCTTTCTAGTAGATGTTAAGACGATAACCTCATAGCATTACGATTCACTGTAGGCTTGTAATTAGAATTATATTTTTGAATTTCGCGTCTTACAAAAGTGTGCTCTTCCAATATTAATTTTGCTGTTTTGGAATGTGAATGTTAGACTCAGTTTGTAGAACGGGTCGGGTTCTTTTTTAAAGAGCTTTAAGTTGGTGTAAAACGGTGTGTATTATTCATGCCTTTAGTGCCATAGATGTGTTCTTTTTAAAAAATTATTTACTGATCTCATATTATTTACTCTGGTAAGTTTAATTTTTGTTTGAAGCAAGAACATGGTGTTAAGTAATATTTTGTTTTCAAAAATGACATGACGAAGTCATATCTAGATTGTACCGGGTGTAACTGAGAATGCGCAACAGTGTTGCGGGTTTGCCTACCCAGTTAGCCCGTAAGGCGCCATGACCCCTGCAGCCCTGGCGGGTATGCAATCCCGCAACACTGTTGCGCATTCTCAGTTACACCCGGTATAGCTACTAGCCGATGTGCGGCATTTTAAAGGTAAAGGCACAGTTAATTGTACAACAGATTATACCATTGTTATGAGATAATTGTGATGTTATCTTAATTTCTTACCTTATAGTTTTGAAGTTAATTGTTAAGGAGTGTTTAAGGGGTTCATGTGATATATGGGAGTGGTTGAAATGGAATTACACTGTTGTCAAATTCAGCTGTCTTGTGTAATATGTTAATTTGTTCAGTCGTTTATGCCATTTGGGATCCTAGGCGTTTATTCAAATACGAAATCTATACGTTGGCGATTAGTATCCGGCGGTTACGGCTATTGTTGAAATTTGACTTATAAAATATAAATACTATCTTGACCATTATTTTTTTTAACTGTTTTGGTGATATGTTAGCCACGATGTGGTGTGCCTTAAAAATATATCCCTAAACATTATATCCAATTCGTTAAAAGAAAACGTGTTGTTGATTAAAATTTTGCGCGAAACAAACTTATTGTAGCAAATAAAAATGTAAGCTTAATTTTGCTTGAATGTACGTACTGCTGCTAAGTTATCTTGGGCTGGCACTGCAGCTGTGCATACAACAGCTATCTTCAAACTCCTCTTTTACTTTCAAGATGTTAAGAGTAATGCCTCCACTATGTCTGAAAAGTGGTAAACCGGCTGGCGCTGGCACTAAGCGTGCTGCTGATCTAGCACCGCCGTATTAGTCGTGCCAATTGTTGATAAGTGTCTCGATACCTCGCAATCGACCATATGTGTAGATTTAAAAAGCGTCTTTTGTAAAATCAAGAGTACGTGATACAGGTGCCAAAATATGAATATCAAATGAATTTCTGTAAAAGCTTTGTCAGTTTCCACTCTGGACTAGTCTTTACCCCTAGAAATGGAATCAAGAGGATCCCATCAATTTCTGTCAGCATAGCGAACACTCTTGTTTTCCTCTCCTGAAACGGAGATCGTCTATACTTTCGCTATCGGCGAACAGAGGGGTCAGGGGCACGGGCGAGAACTTGCCTTCATACAGGAACAAAAGGCCAAAGGGGCTCGAATTCGAACCTTTTTGAGAGGGACCGCGGGTGGGAAATTCCATCTTCCCATTCTGGCTTGTCCGCACCTGGTGCCATAGCCCGGATTCTATCGTGTTTTTTTTTTTGTTTTTTTTTTGTTTTTTTGTCTTTTTTGGCCTTCGTGAACGCTTCAAATTTGCTTTGTTCTGTACTGTATCCACAGCAATTTTGTCATCGTTCTAGAATTCAACGATAGGAGTTTCCACGCAGGAAAACTAGAAACTAACATATCTTATGCTGTCTTCTTTCTTATCCAATTATTCTTTTCTTCAACCACTCGTTATAATAAACCACTGTTAATTAAAGCTTCGACGTAATTTTCGGTGTTTTGTAAACGTTTTCTGTAGGAAAATTCCTGCTTTAGCTCGGTTGCATGATATCTATTGAACAGACCATTTACATTAAGATTTACTGCGTATTTCGTTAAAACGTAAATGCTCTTGTGTTATATTCGGTATATATTATATACATTTAACGTTACACATATATCCTATATATTCGTACTTACTAAACTTATAAATAATTCCAATTTTATGCAAAGGAATATGATTCCTCCCCCTGTTCTGTGAAATTGATAAGACATTCAGAGTGTATCGCAGTTCACAGTCACTCCAACATATTTTCTCCCCGTCAAATGTACAAAACTATCACTTAAACCTGAAATGTTAAGTGTTGTCGTATTGACTTCAGCCATATCTAAGTGATATTAAAATAATACCCTTTGCATCTCGAAATATAAACTCAGAACTCCGTCGCGCCTTTACCCTTTTTTCTCTTCCTTCTACACACGACATTATATCTCCGTACACCTTAAACCACAAAAATATCTATTGTTTATCTAAACACCCGTGCCTACCAAAGCACTCATTGTTTCTTCATTTTCTTGCTGAAACCAGCCAGCCTGTTGTTCATGTTCCAGACGCCCCCTCACCCCCAGCTCCTTGGTGACTCCCTCCTCGCACCCCCCGACTGGCCTCCCTTGCTATTCCTCTCGCCGGGGAGTGACCTGCAGCCCTACCCTACAGGCTACCAGTCAGGGTACTCGACAGGGTACCAGTCAGGGTATCCAGTAGGCTACCCGGACAGGACGCGCAAGGCCCTCGGCTATGAGCCGGCCATGGGACACGAAGTGGACCACACCTTGAGCCACCCCATGGACCACGCCGTGGACCACGCTGTGGAATATACCACGGACTATCCAATGTGGGCCCACCGAATAGGTAAGCGGTGATACGTCAACAGTGGAGAAGATGGTCTTCCATGTAATCGGCCACGTTTGCTTCGGCATGAAGGACAATTGCGTGACCGCGTCAGCGTCGAGGCTGTGCTATTTTTACCCTCACCCCTGATGTTTCAGTGTACCCCCCCGACCCCTGCTCTCCGCCCTACTCGCCGTTCGGCTTCTGCGACTACAGCGTGCTGGACATGATGCCGCTGGCCAGGCCCGTGGCCGCCGTGGCCGGGCTGTCCGACCCGGGCTCGCCCCCCTCAGGTCCCCCAGGCCCCTCCCCCCCAGGCCCCCCGGCCTACGCTGATCTCACCGAGCTGCACCCCTACATGCAGCCCATGCCGTACCGAACACCAATGGGGGGCCCGTCAGGTAAGTTGTCGTTCCGGGCGTCGCCATCATCGCCCCTGGGGGGCGCCACTGCGAGCAGTAGCGGCGGCAACCTGCCACCGCCTCCACAGGCGCTCGCGATAGATGGGATTTGAAAACTCGACCAAAGACAGTCTTAGACTTATTTTTATAATTCAGCTGCAGCGCTGTCGCTAAAATGGGAGATGGACGGAGAGAAGTTTAGGTTAACTTATTTTTACGGAAAGCTTAGCTTGGTGGAAATCGCGTACGCTCCATGTGAGTGAGCGTACGTGCAATAGTGCAAATGGGTGTAGAGCGAGATGGTGGGAGGGGGGGGGGTGGCGGGAAGGGAGAAGTAGATGGAGACATCATTCAGGGCAACGGGAGTGAGGGCCACCAACCAAGCTACAACGCTGGCTAGGCGCCTGGGTGGTAGGCACTGCGGTCACACTTCTGCGCGGCGGGCTTGCCCACCCGCTCTGCCCGCAGGCGCACAGCTCCTCGGCGATCATTTTGTCCCCGTAATTCTTAAGGTGCACCGACTGGTGTGGTTCCAGATCTCGCCGACATGGAGGCTCTGATTAAGCAGGAAGACTTCAGTGGCCAAGAGACTGAGCACCAAGCTGCACTGCGCCGCATGATGTGCAGCGAGCCAGTGATCATCCAGGAGAACGAGCGGATTTGTGTAGTTAGGGAGTCGGGACCCGCGCGTACTTTTACTGCAATGTGATCTCGTCCCCCTTGCTCTGTACAATTACCTTTACTGTGAAGGGACCCGTACTGATATTAATTATTTTTAATCCAAAGAAACAATATTTTAAATAGTCACTTGAAACCAAGTACCTTCATTTATTGTGATTAATGTGCCATTTTTTCTGGCATCAAACGTAAACACATCACTTTTTCTTCAGAACTACTCGTAGTAATTATTTCTTCAACTTAGGTATTATTGACTCTTACACAACAGCCTTGTTCTGATGTTGTACAGAGAATCATTGTAATTTTTATAAATGAACTTCAAAATGTCAGATTTATGCTGATAATAGTATATTTTATTGTTATGATGTAATAAATATTTTTTTCATTTAACATTTGTACTCCCCTCAATCACAATAATAACACACATCTAAATCTAGGTAATGGTCAACATGACAATCTTCCCTCCTAAAATTCTTTTCACGCATCTGTCTGGTTTTCAGAATCAGTGGCTCCATTCCCGCCTTGCACTCTTAGTTTGATATTGTTTTTTCCGGTACCCATCAAATTTATCACATAACTAGGTGGAGGTACTTTCAAAGCGCCACATTCTGCCATATCTTTAAGCATTTCTACAGTGTCATTAGTTTTGAACTGAATTCTCATGTTAAAGGTTTTTTCTCGCATAAGAGGGTTTGTAAGTCGACCTTTCCAGGGCAAATTTTTAGCTTCCTGATAGCAAAGAAATGAATGAATAAAATATCAGAGCTATGTACAAATTCATAAAATATCAACACAGGTAATAATAGAGGATTGGTTGTACACTTACCACAACGTAGTTGGAAAGTTTTGGAGGACATGGTCCCATGATGTCAGATATAAATTTCCTTTTGTCTGCATGCTGTGAGAAATCCTTACCCATTGGTGTCTCCTCTACATTGTCTGTTGAGAATGCATGTTATTAACTCATTAACTACATTGATGTAGAGACAAAAAAGGAAATTTTTACTTACTTAGTGATGGCAACCGCCCAACAAAACCTCTTTTCAAACCTTTTTGGTTCAAATGTTTAAGCAAAGATGTCAGATCATAGCCGTCTAAATTACTGAACTTAAAATTATCATATCCCAAGGAATCAGTCAGTGGCTGAAAAGTAGGAAAGATGTAAAATGCCATCCATAAAAAGTTGGTCCTTGAGAGGTCCTTGGATGCAATTTACCTGGATGAAAGTATCTGAAGTGTCTTTCGGGCTGAAAAATAAGTATGGCTGTCCAATGAAATGTGCCACATACAGTGGGGCACTTACTTTCAGTTTATTCTTCACCAATTTCTTCTTCACTATTCGGATCCAATGTAAGTTATTTAAACATCTCACTATAACAGTCTGGAAAAAAACGAGCAATCTGGTGAAGTACGAGTATATTACAACTACTGAAGTGCTACAGATGGAAAATGGTTTACCGCATGTATATTGTTTTCTAGAAAGTTATGTTTGATGGCGTCTTCTAAGTCTGAGTCCAATTTATCCTGTTGAACATTTCCTTCTAGGGTATAAGCAGTCCATTTCCGCCGGGAAGGATTGTGTGCAATACCTGGAAAAACAGAAGAAATTACCTTACAATTTATGACAAAAATGCAAGGCATTTTAAGTTAGATATTGAGGCAAGAGGTTTATATTTACCCATGAGCATGACAACTGGAATAATTTCTGCAACTTTATCGTCAGTAATTTCTGTCTCCTGGAAAATTGTGGGGCTTGACTTTGGAAATTTTGTTAAAACAGTTGGGGTATGAAATTTTATTAGTAGTCAATACATACCTTTAGTAGGTCCATAAACACGTCAACGATTACATGCTCGGTTGTTACACATTTCAGGTGCCGAATCTGTGATATGAGTGAATCACGAGTGACATAATCTGATAAAAGAGGCAGAGCACTTTCTAACAAATATTTGCGGTCAAACTGCTTTAACGCTGAACGTAGCTGCCTTTCATTCTCTGATTTAAAAAGAAGACATAAAAGAATTAAAACAAGAAACACATTATTGAAAAGATACAATTCTGCTGCATGGTTTAGAAGACTTAACCCTGTTGGTTCATTTATGTACACAACTTACTAGAATTCATTTTGTACTACAAGTCCACTGTTAATCTTTTGAAAGAGACGTAGCACCACCGATGATAGCAACGTTAAACGTCCAACTTTACAATGATATCATCAATCCTATGCTTCAGACTCAAGCTTCAGACTTCAGTATTTTTCAGTTTAAATGAAAACAAAACAACGATACAAAAACAATTGACGTGCAGCAACCCCCAACTCAAAACAAAATCAAAAATACTACCAACTTTTTTGGGTGTTAGCGATTTCCATTCTTTACCTAAAAAAAACAAGGACTCATGATAATTATCAGGTTTATTCGTATTAAAACGAATTATTTAATAAAATTAAGGGTTAAAGTATCTTTTAGATGACAGGGGTGAATAAAACCTCCCTTTGTCATTTTCTGTATGTTTGTAACATTGACAGCAGACGATATATGTCGGCAGCAACCGCTGTAGGAGGAGGCTAGTGAACCGGCTGTCAAACAAGCAAAGAAGGAGAGATACTTGGGTAATTGAAGATTATTGATTCTTTTTTTTTATTATTACCTAAACCTTTCTTTTAATGTGTTAAAACAATTCCAAATACAGTTAAATTTTGTAAAATATAGATTTGGTAATTACTAAGTTGTCCACCTTCTAAGCCAGTGGATAGGTTAGAGATACGATAACACTGGTATGAGACTGGATAATCCAAGTAACAAAGTAACTTGAACGGAAGAGTTATAACTCTTTCGTTCAAGAAAGTAATAATTACTGGAAATCTTAAACCTTGTTTTTTCTCTCAGGAATATTCGCCTTTTTTAAACGTAAAATGGAAGATGCTGACAATAATACTGAAAACCAAAGCATACATGAAAATGTCGATGGACAAAAAATTTTACTTCGACTGAAGAGCATTGGAAAATCAGTATGCATCGAATACACTATTGAGAAGGACAAATCATCAATTTTACAAACTCCAGCTGTTCACATATTAGCAGCAAGCCTGACTCTTTTATTTCTGAGTTTATTATGTTGCTTTATGACTGGAGTTTTGATCTGTACCTGTATATGTGGATTTGTTTCTTACCATTCAATTTGGCACATAAAAAAAGGTAATAAAATTTGGAATCTGATAATACTTAAGAATTTTCTCATGATGTTTCTGAAAATCTTCTTTCCGCAGAGGTTTTGCTCATCACAATACCTTTGGGATTGCAATTTACCGCTTTCTTCAAATCTGGGCATCACAGAACATGCTTTATCCCATGGAACTGTATAAGAGACATTTATATTGTGGAAGCCATATCCTTGGTAAATTTCACTAACATGCGTGCTTTTAATGTCTGTATTTCTGATTAATTTTAAAAATTTGTACCACTGCCCTTTTTATTGCAGCATCGTGTTTTGTATAATATAGTTGTTCTCACTGAAGTAGAAGGGCGGAGTTCCACATCAGCTCAGACAACTTTGAAGCTCACACCTCTCTTCCAAGTGAGTTTTAGTTTTCTCAATGAATTTGTGTTTAATTCTGTATGACCATTGAATTGTCATGCCTTCTCTCTATTTCTTTCCAAGGGAACCAAACCCCGACTGAGCTGTTTGGAAACCATATACCAAAGTATTTACACTCTCATGCCAAAAACTACAACACAAGTTGAAAACTAGTCGCTGCTTTTAAATTAATACAAATTTATATTTCCTGTTGGCCATCACTGACTGTAGGCCACCTGTCAAGTTTTGCAGGTACATATTTGTTTTATGAACAACTCTGCAACCATTAAATGTTAAT